CATAAAATGGTAAAGGTATGACTGAAACAGGTTCGATAGGATGAAATGAACTTCCCAACATATACATATAGAGTAGGTCGGGGCATAAAGGTCCAATATGATTTTCAGTAAAATTACTGTCCAAAATGAATCAACTACATGAATGAAGATTTTATTGTATAAAGAAGAATACTTATCATCAGCAGTACGAAGTCTAGATCAGCAATAATATGTTTAGTTCATGAAGACCTAAGATCATAGTCTGTTCAATATCATATTATCCCTTCGACAAATTTTATATGGACACGTCTTTATCTCAGGCATCGAAATAACAAAATTTCCAATTCATTCTCGATTTCCATTCAATAGGCTTTCTCGCAATAAATGTGTACTCAATGAGCCACACGGCAAACAGTGGTGGTTCACTTAGGCGGTTTTCTAAAACCATCCCTTCGCCCTGTCCAATCCCTGAATAGAATTATGTAATGGGAAGGAAAGAGCAGAGCAAAGCCGGAAAAAAGGACGGCGAAGTAATCGATAATAAGGGTGGCAGCATGTCAGACGCCTACGCTCGACAATGTGCTTAGAATAATTTTTGACTTTATGAAATTGTTCGAGTTTTGAATTGAATGGGATTGAACGTGATCGCTTAATTAGATTGTGTCGAAAATTAATACATACTTTAAACTTTCTAAACAAACAAATTATTAATAATAGACTCTAATTACCAACAGTGATGGTAATAGAAACATCAGGGGGTCATTTTTAAATTAGATTCAACCGTTTTTATATAACCTCTATAATACACGTGGTTGGGGTAAAAGAGCTACCTAAACCTTTATACTGGAGAGGTATAAATAATAAGAAACTAGCAAATTATTAGTTATTCCAACTCTGATGATGCATTTTTCTGACAAAGTTTTGCACAAAAGTTTAATCCAGTGAAAAATGTGATGCCCATGAAATATATATTTCAAACAGAAGTTGCATTTATCCTATTTGCAATAATTGAATTTCAATATAAAATGAATCTGATTATTATAAATGCCTATCAAAGCAAGATTAAGAGGCACAACTAGTGTGAAATTTTCAAAAAATCGAATTTTAAATTTTTCCATATTTCGATAGGATATACCTTAAAAATAACATACCAAAATTTTAATTCGATATTTTAAATAGTTTTTGAGTTACAGCCATTTAAAGAGGATATATATTGTATATAGTATAACGATCATTTTATCTTTAAAAGCGTTTTTCTCGAAATAGCATTTTCCGAATTTGCTGCAGCGATTACTCAAAAGCAAATGATCCGATCACTATCAAATTTACATATTCTATATATAGTTCTCAGTAAAATGAACTATCGATTTTTTGATCGAATCAAAAATCGAATTTTGGCAGTCTAAAAACGACTTTTTTTAAAAAACGCCGCCATTTTATAAATTTTTGATTATTTTTTTTATCGTAGGTAATTTTACACACAATATTATCTAGTTTAATGAGATTTTTATTTTTTTAAATTTCATCCATGTACACGGAATCACTGCAGCAGTAAAGAGCCTTTTTTTCGCGCCGATGGACGATAACTTAAAAAATATTTAATTTTTTTCTTCAAAATTTTACTATGTATTCTTGAAACATGTGTTAATATATTCTTAAAATTTTGAAATGATTGATAAAGTATTTTTTTTAATATAAATTCCCAAAAATCATCTTTTTTAGGCGGTTACACTTGTTGTGCCCCTTAAATACATATCTATATTACAATTCTTAATTTTTTTATTCAGCTTAATAATTAATGAATCGCATTGAGTAAATAATGTCATTAATATTCCATAAAACCTCTATAAAATCACAAATAAAATGGCGGATCTCCCTGCCCCCTGACTGTCCATTTTTACTTCGACTATGGGGCAAAAAAGACGAATAACAAATTTTTGAAAAATAGCCAAAAAATCATAGTTGTACAATGATGGATTTCTGGACATAGGTAGTTCTTTGTTTTTTTTGCGCTGTAGTTGGTTTGGTTTTCAGTTTAATTACAGAAATATATATATACAGTAGAAGCTCGATTAACCGGACTAATTGTTGTCGCTAGGCATCCGGATAATCGAATGTATGAAGAATATTGTTGTGTATTTATGAAAAATAACAAATTTATTAAGAAATTGAAACTTCCTTATGTATGTTCATATATATTTTCTTAGATTACATTACAAACGTAAACTAAACTGCAGCATTAATCGTTCAAAATTCGAATTGTAGGAATGTACATACATAGAATTTGGTCGCGGTTAGTAGTCCGAATTATCGCGAATCCGTATAACCGAGGTCCGGATAAACAAGGTTCTACTGTATATATATATATATATATATATATATATATATATTTATCCCGATTATAGTTTACATATACAAATAACAAGATAGGGATGACAATAGCACAAGGGTTGTTAAATAATTACCGTGAAAATGGATTAAGCGTTCCCTGTATACGTCTATGCAAATCCTTCCCCACAAGTTTTTGGCGTGGTTAGCGTTTTTCTAAAGGGTTACTACACAAGAATAAAAAGTGTTCGAAATTTATTCCATCCACTGAGGGATCAGATTTAAACGCTAAATGTTTGTTTTAGTAAATGAAACATGAAGGCACAGTTAATGAGCAAATAATTAGAAATAAATATGTGATTTTTATGTTATTCAGCATAACGGTTTAACAATTTATTTCTTTAGTAAATGGATTATTTGCTGTTAATTTTTTCTGTTATTAAAATAATTCGAAAATCTTTTTAAAAAGCATTTTGAAGAATCAGAACACATATTTCAATTTATATTTGGTTCAAAACGAATTAGTGTTAAAATATAAGAAAATAAGTCTATTAAAATCGTATAAATTTAGAAATTACCATGTTTTAAGAATGAAATATATTATTGGCAACTGATAAATGTATTTGGTATTATACATGGTGGTGGTGGCTGGGTTTTGCTCTAACAAACCCTATTATTCTGATACACTTTGGCATTTGCGTGCTACGTAACAAGGCACTATCAATATCGGCTTTGTTCTAACAACGAACGTGGAATATATCACGTGAGCTTTACTTCGGTGACATCAAATATACACACAAATGGAAATCTATACACACCAAGGAAATATACATACGAGTATATATTTTATTCCAAAATTTTGAAGTATCAGACTTGGTACCAAAAAACCATTTATAGTATAAATTATTTATTACCAATTCGATTTACAGGATAATCTATCCTCGGTTCCGAATTAATTAAAAGAGATTCTAATGAAAATCGTTCCCGTTAACCGGGCCGTTAAATCTGATGTCTCAATAGTAATTTGACGAAATCAAGAGCATCACTTTGTACACATCGCAGTGACTGCGTGGCGCCAGTAAGGCGCGTCCCGTCGATCGTTGGGGGGTTGAAATGCATGGGGCGACTGGGGAAATACACGTTTGGGAATATTCGCACACATTTTTGTAAGAAACTTACGTAACAAAGGAATTGCGTAAGAGCCTACTAGTAGGACACAGTTACCCAATCCATTTTGTCGATTTTAACATTTTGAATTTTCTTCTATTATAAAATTTTAATAACAGCAATATAACAAAACTAAAATTATAGATTTATATCTTCATGTATCATTAATTTCTGTTACATACACGATAGTATGAAACAGGGGAGCGATGTTTGTTATTCTATTTGAAGGGTTGCTTTTTGCATCCTTAAGCGTATACCTATTTATTGTATGCCTATTGTATTTCCGAATGTGTAAACATCCCAAAAAAACACACACACACACACACACACACACACACACACATATATATATATATATATATATATATTAATTTAGAAATATGAACAAACAACTCTCTTTTTGCACTAATTTATTAAATAATAATTTTACAAACGTTTTTACTAGGTTTGTCTCATCATCAGTGTGCTATAATTTAAAATCTAAAATATGGAAATCTAAATTAGCATTATGTGTTATCCGTTACAAGTCGTTCCTTTTATTGAATATGTATATATATATGTATGTATATATATATATATATATATATATAATATTAGGGTGGTACTTAATATGGACATTTTCGAATTTCCTTGCTCCCAAGGGCTCAAATGGTTTAAATTCATAAAAAACAATTCTCTGAAAGTTTTAGCTTTTACCATTAACTTTTAGATAGTGCACAATTCAATCAAACTTCGTATGGAAAAAGCATGGAAAAAATTTTGAAAATAAAAAAAAAAATTAGGTATAACTTAACGACAAATTTTGAATTAAATTGATTCATTTGTTCGCTAAATTATATCTAAAAACATTTTCAAAATTTTTAAAAAAAATTTAATGCTATTTTCATACAAAACTTTGATTGAATTGCGCACTATCTAAAAAACAATATTAAGAGCTAAAACTTTGAGAGAATTGTTTTTTATCAATTTGGAACCATTTGAGCCCTTGGGAGCAAGGAAATTCGAAAATGTCTATATTAAGGACCACCCTAATATATATATATGCACACTATAAAAACATAAGTAATCGAACAATTGTTTTGAAAGCCAAATTTAAATGCTATCGGTTTCAATAAAATCAATTAAATTATAATTGTTGTATATTATTTTAATATTTTATAACAAAATTTTATGACCACTCTAAATTTAAAATTTAAATCTGTTTCATAGTTTAAACTTTTCTGAAACTATTTTTTTTTCGGCAAAAAGTATGAAGTCTTTTTTGAGGTTTTGTTTTTCCCGTTCCAATGACATGCAATTTAATGAATTCGGGTAGATTTTGACCTACTCAATCTCAGTCCATGATCAGATTTAAAATATTCAACCTACTTGTGCAACTTTTCGAGGTTCGAAACTTATCGTGATATAAACTTCAAATGTACAAAAAGAATAGGAAATATTCGATATTTAGGGTATCTAATAGCATTTTCAGATAAATGAAATTATCTCACTATTCAATTTTCAATTTTCAAATTTTTCCGTTTCAGCAAAAGAATATCAATATTTTCACCGTTAAAAAGTCCCAACGACAACCAATACGAGTAACATGCTTTTAACCTGAAACAAAGTGTAGGTCGAGGTTGAGGTGCATTATGGGGCACCGGCCAGATGCGGAACGTAAAACAATTGCCGCCTAACGGAATCTCGGGCAAAGTAAGTTGATTTTATATATTATTGAGTATCCAAAAATATTAAGAAAAAATGTATTATTTTAATACGTTTTTTATGTCGAAAACCATTAAATCAATAAACTAGTGCATTCCGATTTATTGATCACAGAACCGTTTGTTTATCAACAATTCCTCTATGTAGTATTTTGAATGATTAATCACCATTTAGAGAAGCTACATAGTGCTTTTTACATATGGGAACATACGCAAATTCCACATTTTATTTTGTGGACGTGTGTACCATTTTTCGGTTCATGTACATATAGAACATAGGGCTTAACAAAGATTGATGACCTATTGTATTTTATGTTACAGTAGCACACGTTTTATAAAAGTAGTATAAAAGTAAGTGAGTTTTTTTAGTTTAACGAGATTTTTATTGTGAACATAAAATACGCATTAAACTGAATTATAATAAAAATAAAACCTGAGCAGATATTTTAGTTCACTAGAGTAACTTTTAAACAAACATTTAATGAGAGCAGTACTAATACTTCGGTTGCATTAAAAATGTATTTTGCTAAATTTAAATATTTACTACAAAGTTTCTCTTTTGTATTCTTGCTTGATTGCATGTATACTGATTTGTGAATTCGATTGTGAAAATGGAAATTGATACATATTGTATAAAGTTTCTAAAATAATTAGGTGTAAATGGCATTTTTCCTTACGGCAGGTTGTATGATCTTGTGCACTAGACTTGTGCCTAATTAACTTGAATAATTACGCTTAAGCTACGTACAACTATTCATAAGATGAAATTTAACTAGTGGGGTGGGTGGCATCGTGCCTTAAGGCAATTTGCTGGAACTTCCCGTACCGTAACGAAATGTTCGCGGAATACTGAATGTTTTCAAATAGATTATTATTAATATTATAACATTGTCTAATATTTATAAGAATTATATAAACTGAATTGCAAAGTTGAAATTATTTGTAAAGTATATTAGAACTATAGTCAGAATAAAAAATAAAATCTGAATTATTTTCGATATACAAAAAATTAAAAAAAAAAGTTGAAACAAAAATATTTTTTTCCAAAATTAATTATTTTGTTAAGACAAGCAGAAAGTTCTTTGAATCATTTAAATCGGACGCTTAGTTCTCTCAAAAACTGCCATTTTTTACATATTTAGCTCCGTATCTTCGAAATGGCTGGGCCTGCCTTTGCCAAAAACTAATAAACACTTCTCCCAATCATTACTAGTTGAATATACTCCATTCTCTTAAAAAGTCGATTTTTATTTTCTGCACTCTTTGCTCCGTATCTCCGAAACGGCTGGACCTGTCTTAGCCAATAATTAATCAGCTCTTCTCCCTATCAATAGGAATCGAATGTTTTTTGAACCATTCAAATCGGTTGATCCGTGCGCCCGAAAACGTGACTGGAAATTTGTATCCATTCATACATACACACACACACACATGCATTTTTTCTGAGGTTTCTGAGGCCAAAATGTTCAGAAACCTTCAAAACGTAGAGAAATGTAAAAATTTTCAATTCCGATTTTCGTTTCCATTACAATAACTTACCCTACGGGAAGTTAAAAAAAAAATCATTTTATTCAATTCTTTTATATTTTTTATATATACACTTTTCCTAAATTATTAAAAATTATAAGAATTTACTTATATTATACATATATTTTGTATGACACTTACATATACATATAATTTGTATGAGTGTAGTCTCATAACGTTTCTTCCGCTGGCAAATATTTCTATATGAAAAATGTTAAATTTAGACCGCTTGTTTATTACACAAAAACTAATTGTGTTTAAACAGCTGTGAAAACTTTCTTGTATCACATTTATTTTTGAATTTCTTTATTGTCGGCGATCATTAATTACTTACAATTGCATGGCATTACCATATGGTTCCAAATTTATACTTCGTGTAAGTGAACACATTAATGAGCGATATAATTTTTTTTTTTGTAAAATATATTGTAGGATGAAAGATTTATTGCTTTATGGGTCCATATAATGTCTTTGTTGAATGCGTTCGATTCATTTTCTCCTATATTTTTATTCAAATTCCCAAATCGAATGATTCCGCCGCGGCAGCTGCTATTTTGTGACAACAAGCCGGGCAGTGGCGCGTGTGAACCGCAACTGTTTTTGCATTTGTTTTTTTCAACATCGATGTCGTTGGGTTCGCGTAATTTCCAAAATATATCGAACACAACAATACAATGGAGGGACCGAATTACAAAACGAACGAACGTGTAAGGGTCGCCTAGGACAAGGGTATTGACAAAAATAGTGGCACCGAATGAAAAGGGTGAGAACTTAAACCCCTGTTATTGCGTTGTGTAAGTAGAAATTATTTTGTAACTAGAGATTGTATTTGCTTTTGTTGGGAAAAATAGCGGGTTATTTATTAGTTTTTGCTATTATGTTTTTTAGACATAGATTTAGGAGTTTGCCCCAAATATTGATGATATTGCCTATTTTTAATCCAACGTACGCACATGAGCGTGTATTTAAAGCTTATATGCCCTACATCAGCTAAAATTAATGTTTACTTTTAATACTCTACTTTGTGTATTATTGACCTTTTTTACTTCTATTCATGAAAATAGATTTTTGATATTTTCCGAAGAAAAAGTCCGCTGATTTCATGCGTTTTACTTGTATTGACAAGATGAATTATTGATCAAATTTTCATGAAGGCAATTCTAAATGAAAGAAGTAAAAAAAAGCCATTTGGCGGTCAAAAATGATCATTAAACATATGCACATCAAATTATCAGATATTTTATAGAGATTTTAATAATAAGTATAAATTTTGTTTACATTCCTATGGGTTCTGTACCAATGTTTATCCGTTAGACGGCGACGCGGCGCTTACGCGCTTTGACATTTCGACTCTATGCAGTTAAAGCAGTACGATTGCTTTGAAAAAAGTTCAGAATTTCCAAACTATGCCAAAATAAAGAAAACTTTTTTTTCAAAAAAGGTAATTTTTTGTCAATTTTTTAGTTTCTCAAAAATCTAATTTTTTGTCAATTTTTTAGTTTCTCAAAAATCTAATTTTTTCGAAGTAATTTTTTTTTAAAAATGATAATTTTTGGTACAGGAAGTTTCAGCAATTTGCCTTAAGGCACGATGCCATGCGCCCCACTAGTTTATTCACGCATATATGTCCAAATAATATCAATTTTATCATAGTATTTCAACAGATCCATGATCCATGCACTCTGAATATTTTATTGTTGTATTTGTTGCTCTAATAAGAAAAATTATTATCGAGGAATTTAAGAAGCTTTAAAAAATAATACGGAATATTTGAAAAAAAACTTAAAAAATAACAAATAGAGTCTATGAATATAATTATTTTTAGTGACTACTTTAAGTTAGACGACCAGAGACCCAGAGACGAAGGGATAAGTTGATTGATAAACTAACAAACATACTTCAATAAAGTTTGCTTTGATCTCTTTGGTACTTTTTGGTATCTTCAGCACCCTGAATGTAAGTTCATCAATCTCTTACAATCCCTAAGTTCGATCTGTCGACAGACTTACCGATTGAAAACTACACAACCCCATAATTCTGGATCGACTCGTGGCAGAATCACAAAAGACTTTTTGATAAACAAAATAAATATAAAGGCGGTTACAGCTTTGAACGAGGATTATACAAAATCCCGCAAAATATAGAGCCACTCAATTTTATCTCTAGCTTTTGTTGAATTTTGTACCCCAACCCTGAGTGAATGTAACACTGGCGGTAAAATTTATTTTTAACTTTAATTTTGGTTCGAATAATAGAAAATTTATTGATATGCAATGGATGGGACTTTATATTAAACGCCATTCTACTCTAATAAGTATATGCATATATATTATTAAATGAATCGGTGAAAATTAACATAAAGTGAAGAAAACTACTCAGAAAACAAATGAAAACCGTCTCACGCTATAAAACAGAATTAATACTAATAACATTTAATGACTCTATATACAGTTAACACTAACAGTACTAACACTGATTCACAGGAACAATTTGAAAAGTGTGTGATAAATATCTAATCAAGAGATATAGTTCACAATTACTTTGCAAAATTCACGATCGTAATTAAAGCATTTTATTAGAGCAGTTCTAAAGCAAAGACATTTATTGGGAAATAAAATATTTAATTACAAAGTAATTAACTTTCTCTTGGATAAAAAATATGAGAAAGGAATTCACAAGTTTGAACAAAGTTGATAAAAGATTCAGTTAAAGTAAAATATTTTACTTCAACTGAAACTTTTATATTGTTTTTTTTCGCGAATTATTTTTAAGTTATATACTTTCCCTTGGCCAGCATTGACTTTTAACATAAACCAGTATACCATAAGTCACGTTTTTCACAAAGAACATAATTCAATACCGAAATTCACGAGTCAATGCCCACCCTTATTATGTAAGCTTATTTTATGTACGAGTTTTTACCTACATATATGGTCCCTGGATCGAATCCATACACATATAAAGCTGAAAAAAAGTTTATTTAGAAATTCTGTTTCAAAGTTTTAAAAATATTTAATAGTAAGGTAAAATTGTAGAGTTTTGGGTGTGGGTCAAATTAGAATAAGTGTAATAGTAAATAGTAAGAAAATAAAACCAAAAGAATTGAATCATTACATGCATACTAATAATATATAAATAAAATATTTTTATTTTAGATTTTTAATGAATATTTTATATCACTTATGATATATTACACAAAGTAAAATAAAAATAGAGTACTATGATGCTGTAAATTCGATAGTAGCTATTCATAAAAATATACTACATAGTATTAAATTACTCTATCAATGGGCGGTTATGCTAAGGACCACATATACACATATGTCCATATACTTATTTATTATTTACAATAATTTCTGCATGCTTTATATACATATATTACATGTTTGCATAAAATCATATACAGTCAACCCTCGGTTTACACGGCACTCTGGGTGCACGGTTCCCCTATTACGCGGAGCT